GAACACAAGACTGGCTTGGCTTGGAGAACAGTACCGGTGAACAAACCGTATCACCAAGGCAAAGCAAAATGTTTAATGACGTTAAGTTAAGGAAAACACTTATAGAAAATATAAATTAATTAATAAATTAATAAAAGCATTAACGTTATCAATTCACTTAATTGTGTTTTCTGATATCTGTAGTTTTAAATTAGAATAAAAAGGTGTTCTGGTGACAGCCGTCTTTAGGTGTTGTAAGGTGTTCTTGTGACAGCTGTCTATGGGGATGTGTTGTAAGGTGTTCTTCTGACAGCTGTCTATCGAGGAGTGTTGTAAGGTGTTCTTGTGACAGCTGTCTATGGGGATGTGTTGTAAGGTGTTATTGTGACAGCTGTCTATGGGGATGTGTTGTAAGGTGTTATTGTGACAGCTGTCTATGGGGATGTGTTGTAAGGTGTTATTGTGACAGCTGTCTATAGGGATGTGTTGTAAGGTGTTATTGTGACAGCTGTCTATGGGGATGTGTTGTAAGGTGTTATTGTGACAGCTGTCTATAGGGATGTGTTGTAAGGTGTTCTTCAGTCAGCTGTCTATAGGGATGTGTTGTAAGGTGTTCTTCAGTCAGCTGTCTATCGCGGGGTGTTGTAAGGTGTTCTTGTGACAGCTGTCTATAGGGATGTGTTGTAAGGTGTTCTTGTGACAGCTGTCTATAGGGATGTGTTGTAAGGTGTTCTTGTGACAGCTGTCTATAGGGATGTGTTGTAAGGTGTTCTTCTGACAGCTGTCTATCGAGGAGTGTTGTAAGGTGTTCTTGTGACAGCTGTCTATGGGGATGTGTTGTAAGGTGTTATTGTGACAGCTGTCTATGGGGATGTGTTGTAAGGTGTTATTGTGACAGCTGTCTATAGGGATGTGTTGTAAGGTGTTCTTCAGTCAGCTGTCTATAGGGATGTGTTGTAAGGTGTTCTTCAGTCAGCTGTCTATCGCGGGGTGTTGTAAGGTGTTCTTGTGACAGCTGTCTATAGGGATGTGTTGTAAGGTGTTCTTGTGACAGCTGTCTATAGGAATGTGTTGTAAGGTGTTCTTGTGACAGCTGTCTATGGGGATGTGTTGTAAGGTGTTATTATGACACCTGTCTATAGGGATGTGTTGTAAGGTGTTATTGTGACTGCTGCCTATAGGAATGTGTTGTAAGGTGTTCTTGTGACAGCTGTCTATGGGGATGTGTTGTAAGGTGTTATTGTGACTGCTGCCTATAGGGGTGTGTTGTAAGGTGTTATTGTGACAGCTGTCTATAGGGATGTGTTGTAAGGTGTTATTGTGTCTGATGCCTATAGGGATGTGTTGTAAGGTGTTATTGTGACTGCTGCCTATAGGGGTGTGTTGTAAGGTGTTATTGTGACAGCTGTCTATAGGGATGTGTTGTAAGGTGTTATTGTGTCTGATGCCTATAGGGGTGTGATGTAAGGTGTTATTGTGACTGCTGCCTATGGGGATGTGTTGTAAGGTGTTATTGTGACAGCTGTCTATAGGGATGTGTTGTAAGGTGTTATTGTGACAGCTGTCTATAGGGATGTGTTGTAAGGTGTTCTTCAGTCAGCTGTCTATAGGGATGTGTTGTAAGGTGTTCTTCAGTCAGCTGTCTATCGAGGAGTGTTGTAAGGTGTTCTTGTGACAGCTGTCTATAGGAATGTGTTGTAAGGTGTTCTTGTGACAGCTGTCTATAGGGATGTGTTGTAAGGTGTTCTTCAGTCAGCTGTCTATCGCGGGGTGTTGTAAGGTGTTCTTGTGACAGCTGTCTATAGGAATGTGTTGTAAGGTGTTATTGTGAATACTGTCTATGGGGATGTGTTGTAAGGTGTTATTGTGACTGCTGTCTATAGGGATGTGTTGTAAGGTGTTCTTCAGTCAGCTGTCTATCGCGGGGTGTTGTAAGGTGTTCTTGTGACAGCTGTCTATAGGAATGTGTTGTTAGGTGTTATTGTGACAGCTGTCTATGGGGATGTGTTGTAAGGTGTTATTGTGACAGCTATCTATAGGGATGTGTTGTAAGGTGTTCTTCTGACAGCTGTCTATAGGGATGGGTTGTAAGGTGTTCTTCTGACAGCTGTCTTTTGGGATGTGTTGTGAGGTGTTCTTGTGACAGCCGTCTTAAGGGATGTGTTCTAATGTGTTTTTCTGACACCTGTCTATCGCGGAATGTTGTAAGGTGTTCTTCTGACATCTGTCTATCGCGGAGTGTTGTAAGGTGTTCTTCTGACAGCTGTCTATAGGGATGTGTTGTCTACCGCGGAAGCGGAAATCATACCATAGGCAGGACTATGGATTAGGGAAGCAGGACTTTTTCTCTCTAGAAATGGTAAAATCATAAATAATATATCGATAGCACAGATATGCATAGACACATTTAATCACATCAACATAGTGATCCCAAAGTAATGTGTTTTGTTTAACACTCAACACGGTCTCCAGAACAGAAGTTAGACAAACGACCCTGATATCGCCAAACTTCGAAGTTTAGAGAAACGTAGTTGTTCCTGTTGTGTTTTTCGAAGTGAAGAGGTAAGTGACTGATGCAGAATGATAAGCAAAGATATGTAAAGATATTTAGTAGCTAAATTAGCTAGCTAGCTCACAGGGACAATCTTATGTTTCAAAACTTATAACTTATATTCAAGAAATCCCAGTTAACTACTAGGTATTAGTACAAAGGAAAGGTTCTATAAATTCAATTATCTGTTGGGTTTTTTTTTTTTTTTTTGTTTTGTTTTTTTTTTTAAATAAATTGTTGTAGACTTTCCGTTCATCAGAATGTCAGATGCCTTCGAATACCAGACTGCTAAGAAAACTCAGAGTGATGTCAATTAATCATTTCAGTGAATCAGATATGTTTCCCCTATGATTAGATAGTAACCTAGCATTGCCTGACTCATTCCAATGATATGTAACCTTGAAGTATTTTAATAGTCGTGAATTACAATTTACTTTGTCACATTAAACTTATGAACATTTTTTGTCTCGCTGTTTCTTATTCATTTAAATTTAAGCCCTAAACCCGTGTGAAAGATTTGAGTGTAACATTTCGATGACAACACTGTCAAATTCATCAGAAAAATTACCACCGAGTGTATTTAATTCGGAAGTTTTGTTTCGTTGGTATGAAATAGAATTGCGCATTGACATTTCAGTCGTTGAAAAAAGTGATGCTGCTTCCAGACAGATTTCACAAAACAACGTGTCTAGTGTTTCTTCGGGAATTATTTAAGTTTTCGTGTCATGAAGTTGATTGATGCGATTTTCAGAAAAGAATATCCATAGAAATAATAAATGGAGTTCATTAAGTGACAACATTGTGTTTGTAACGGATTCTACATTTGTAACCTGGACTGTCAGATCGATGTCTACTGAAGCAGACGAAATTGACTAATGTAATCATACCCTGAGGATGTGACACATCTGAGGGTAAGGGTTGAAAAAACCTCCACGGTACAAGTGTCTGAATGGCGCATGAATATCACTTTTTACGTTTTTGACGTCACCGTTTGCATGTAAATCCTTACACAACATGATATAGATCGTAAAATAATCAATCATATTTATTAATTAATCATGTACAATATAGTATTCCATGAATCATATATCAATGAAATGGATCAACATATGCGATATATACCACATTCATCAACATTGTTGTGCTCGAATATTTGTAGAAGGCTTGCGCACTGACAAGTTAACTCGTCAGAGTTTTGTCAAACTTTAATGGCGGTAAAACTCGACAAAAAACCGGAAAAATATCAACAATGTCTAACACACAAAATAGAAACCGGTCCGGAATCACGGCCGCAAAACACCATCCCCCTCTAGGTTCTATTAGCTCCCGCTAAAGGTCAAGTCAAATAGGTTCCTTATATTTCCGTCCAAACCGAGAAGTTCGTCCATCCTGTTCTGGCTGTTGTGAGGAAGTCCCAGCTGGCAGGAATGCCCTCGGATCAGAGCACGATACGTCGCCCTCAGTGGACGACAGATATGATGGGGGGAACTGCTGCCCAACAGGGATTACTTCCCTGCCTGTCATTGTTTCCTTTACATCAGGGGAAGGGTGGTCTTCCTCAACAATTGTAGGAAGGACATAGGTGTGAAGGGTATGTTTCAACTTGGTGACCCAGGCTGGGACGACATCCGATAAGTAGCGCTTCAAACGATCGTGGTGAAGAACAGACACCTTCTTGCGGTCACTTACCTCATACACGACAGGGCCATACTTTTTGGTTATCACAAAAGGACCTTTCCAAACAGGCTGAAGCTTTGGGGACTGACCCACTGTTCTTGACTGGTTCTTTACGTATACCAGGTCTCCAAGTTCATACTCCCTTTCCCTAGCGCGTAAATCGTATAATCTTTCCTGGTGGACCTGGGAAGCCTTCAAAGTCTTTCTTGCTGCCTGCTCAGTTAGGTGTATTCCCTCTAACAACCTATCAAGATAGGTGGGGGATCGTAAGGATCCCGCAAGGTCTTAAGTTCCCTGTAAATCAGGTCAGAAGGGGCATGGACCTCTCTGCCCAGCATAAGGCGATTTGGTGTAAACCCAGTAGCAGGATGTGGTGTACTTCTGTACGCTGATAAGAGAAGCGGTATGTTTTCGTCCCAATGTGCCTGCCCATGGTCTAGATAGCACCTTATCATCTAAAGCAATGTGCGATTGAATCGCTCAACCTGTCCATTGGAAGAAAGGTGGTACGGGGTTGTCCTGGTCTGTGCTACTCCAAGAAGTCGGCATACCTCCCTAAACAAAGAGCTTTGGAAGTTCCTGCCTTGGTCGGTATGGATCTCCAGAGGTGCCCCATATCTAGATATGAACTCCATTACCAATTTTCTTGCAGTCGTCTCGCTGTCGTGTTGCCCGATGGGGTAAGCCTCTGGTCTATAATGACAAGTATATACTTGTTCCCAGCATCACTGGTTGGAAAAGGGCCAACGATATCCAGCTGTAATCTATCCATAGGTGCCCCACTGATGTAGGTCTAGAGAGATGCTCTCATTGTCTTTGTGTTCTTTTTCTCTGAGGCACAGGCATGACATTTTCTGACAAATATGGCCACATCTGTTGACATGCTGTGCCAGTGAAAGCTTTTCTTCACTCGCTCAAGGGTTCTCTTCTCCCCTTGGTGACCTGAGAATATGGCCCCATGACAGGCCTGTATGACTTCCTTCCTTAGTTGGAACGGTATCAGGATTCGCACTGACTCCTGTCCAGCATACTCCCATTGGTAGTAGAGGACATCCTGTACCAGTTTGAGTTGTGGGAGGGTAAGCAAGTATTTCCGCAGGGCGGGACTACTGGCCTGGGCCTCCTCCTCGGCCATTGTCTCTCCATTGCATACTATGGCATGCAAAGTTTTTAGATCCTCATCTTGCATTTGCTCTTCATGGAGCTCTTTTGGACTTTTCGTCTGCAGCCAATTACACTCAGAAACATCACATTTGATGTTGTCGTTCTCCGATTCTTTCATACAATCCTTAACAGGTACCTTTGTGGACCGAACAGCTATAGGCACAACATCATCAACGTCTTCCTCAAATCTCTCCCATGCGGTCTGCAAGTTTGCACAGAACATACATCCCCCGCAAGGAAGTGTCCCAATCGTCGCGCCAGCGAAATAACAAGGGCAGGAGACATCATCGGGGATCCGTGACAAAGCATCCGCATTAACATGCATCTTTCCAGCACGGTGCTCAATGTCAAAGGAGTATTGACTAATCACCTCCAGCCATCTTGCTAGTTGTCCTTGTGGTGATTTGAAGCGGAAAAGCCAAGACAGGCTGCTATGATCTGTTCGCAGTGACAACCTATGGCCGAGAATGTAGTGTTTGAAATGTGTACAGAAAGCTACAACTGAAAGAAGTTTCCGTCGTGTCACACAGTATTTTTCTTGGGCGAGAGTCAATCTTCTGCTTGCATAGGCCACAACCTTCTCCTCTCCGTTCTTGATTTGCGAAAGGACGGCACCTATACTCCGGTTTGATGCATCCGTGTCCAGAACAAACCTGCAGTTGTCAAGTGGATAAGCCAGAACTGGAGAGGCGGTGATTGACTTCTTTAGTGCCTCAAACGCCTCGGTTTGCCGATCTCCCCATTCAAATTTAGCATCTTTCTTTGTCAGATCGTGTAATGGTAGAGCAATCTCGGCATAACCCCTAACAAACCGCCTCTAATAATTGGTAAGACCAAAGAAAGACTGAAGCTCCTTAGATTTACCTGGAACTGGCCACTTAAGGACATCTTCCACCAACTTTGGATTAGTCGAAATTCCACTGCCGTCAATGACATGACCTAGGAACAGTACCTTCTCCTTGAATAGGCAGCACTTTTTCGCTTTGAGTTTTAGACCATGTTCACGTATCCTAGTAAAAACCTGGCGTAGATGCTGCACATGTTCCTCAAAGGATCTAGAGGCCACTATCACATCGTCCAAATAGATCAGGAGAACTGACCACTGGAGTCCTCGAAGGACTAGCTCGCTGGAAAGTGGAAGGAGAGTTCGACAAGCCAAAAGGCATCCTGGTGTACTCAAAGAGTCCTTGTTTTGTTACGAATGCAGTTTTTGACCTATCCCTTTCATCAACTTCAATTTGGTGGTAGCCACTCATCAGATCTATGGTCGAAAATATTGTTGCGCCACTTAAGGTGTCAAGACACTCTTCAATTTTTGGAAGTGGATAGTCGTCCTTTACACTGACTTCATTAACCTTTTGGTAATCAACGCACCATCGCACTCCACCGTCTTTTTTCCGAACTAACACTACTGGTGATGCCCACTCGGAACTTGACAACTCCAGTTTCCATCAGTTTTTGAAGGTGGGCATCTTCTTCGCCTTGGAATCCTAATGGAGTTCTCCTGGCTGGCTGGCGTATTGGCTTTGCTTCAACGGTGTGAATTCGATGTTTTACACCGCTGAAAGTGTCCAAGTCGTAGTCGTCCTTTGCAAAGATATCAGGGAACTTCTTTAGAAGCATACAGAGTCTCTGTCTCTGAGGATTTGTCAGGCCATTCGAGGATTCTGAGAAAAGGTCCTGCAAGTGTAAAGGAACACATATATCCACACCTACAGAGTTTTGTAAATGTTTTGTTTCTGCAGGAGGGAAAACTTCCTCTGCATTGTTGAACTTCTGGTCAACATCTACCTCCTCAATTTTTCCTAGGAAGGTGCCCTCCGAGAGTTTGATCTCGCAGTCCTTCAGATTAAGGACTCTCACAGGAACAGTTTGGTTCATACAGACAAGACATGATCCAACTTGCAACCCGCTCTGATGATTAATGTCTCTAATATTGCCTGGGAAGGTGGAGAGGGATTTTCTAACGACCCACTATCACTTTCTGACTTCCTGGCGGAATCACCACGCTAGCATCAACTCGCACTACACTTCTAGCAATATCAGTATCAGCCATTTGGGAGAAACCTGGAATTAACTTCCCACTGACTTCAATGTTTTTCTCTCCTGTATGGATGACTGCATGTACCTGGAGCAGGTTAATACCAACTAGCATGTTATCCCTAATAGGGGCTATCACCACTGGTAATTTCTTCACTTCCTCACCAAGTTGGAGAGTCGCAGTGACTATTCCTACCCCAGTCATCTGTGCCCCGTCTTCCGCTGTTAATAACTTTATTTCCTTTCCCGGTTTCTCATACTTGAGTCCAACCTCTTTCGCCCACCTGTCAGAGATAACTGTTGCGTCCGCTCCCGTGTCGATGACAGCTTCAGTAGGTTCCCCATTGACAATTATCGGAACAACAATGCTTTTCCCCGTTCTGCTGGCCCTGGTAATCATTAAGTGATGTAGCTGAGAATGTGGTCTGCTGGGAGGTGTAGGCGATCTGGACCTACCAGAGCTATAATCTCTCTGAAAGTGACCCTTACCATCACACCGGTAACATTCCTTCCTTAGTAGCCGACTGGCGTTCCTTCATAGTTTGATCGAATCTTGATCGACACTCCAGCGAGCTGTTTTTAATCAGATCCTGAAGTTGTTTCATTCTCGCCTCAAGTCCATCCCGGCTGGCAGCAGTTGGCGGAATTTGAACACGCTGTGCATTCAACACCCCTTCATCATCTGTATCCGCACTACAAGCCCCATCTGTCCATGAAACTCTGCGGGCTCTGTCTCGTAGTTCTTTTTCTCTCCCCAGGGTGGCTTTGAAGTTGTGCTCCTGTGAAGTTACCATTTCTTTTGTCTGATTGAGCGTTTTGGGGTTCTTGTTCAAAACGTCGTATGCTATTCGTGAGGTCTTGTATCCCTTAAGAAAGGCTTCTGCAGCTAATTGGTCCTGTAAGTTTAAATCTACCCCCGGATAAGCCAAAGTAACTAGGCGTCTAACTTCCTCTCCAAATTCATCGTTGCTCAAGCTATGTTGCCGTATTTCGTGCAGCTTTGGAGGGTCCCTCCGTCCAAACCGCTGGACAAGACTTTGCCTCAGGTTCTTGTACTCTTTTCTCATGTTTTCTGGCAGTGAGCAGACATACCACATGGCCCTCCCCTTGAGCCATTCATACAGCCTATCAACCCTCTCACTATCTGATCAGTGATACCGAACAATGAAAGTCTCCACATCTTCCTTTCCTTCAAACACCGGGAGTTTTGTCTGAGGGCTTTTCCCTGGGCCCCTGTCGAGGCGTTCTGAAACTTGCCTTCCGGACGAGGGTGTACTAGAGAGCGAGTTGTTCAGTCCACTGAGTTGGGAATGATTTAGGCTTGAATATGAGTGTTCTCTCTCGCAGTTCCTCATCAAAGCCGCCATAGGACCTTTGATCCCGTGTGGTTTTCAATCCATCTTGTTGCTCGTCTGAAACAAAGGCCTCTGGGCTAATGGTGGTGCTTGCTGAGACAGGGCGCTCCTGATCTCTTGGCGCGCCTCCTGCATGAAAAACCTCATCATTTCATTATGTTCCGCGAGGTGTTTTCTTTTTTCCTCATCAAACTCTTTCATAACCTCACTAAATATTCCTATTTGTGTTTCGCGTTGTTCATCAAAACTCTTCATTATGACAAGAAGCATGTCATTTGCCACCTTGGGATCAAATGACGCCGTGTCATCCTGACCCCCCAGCTGTTCCTCTGGAGGCTGATCACCAAGATGTTCCATGCTAGTCCACTTTAGCTTGTTCGAAAACTAAAAGTTCCTGTTTGTCAACTTCCACTTCTAGCACTTCCACTTAGTAGTTCTCCGGGGTGTGGACCATCATCTAGTAAGTCTATGAAATAGCGCTCTTTCCCTTCCTTTCTGCAGTCACGCAGGTCAGCATTAAATTTGAGTGTTGTTGTTCCGAGTTCAGTATTGAGACTTTCAATTTTAGAATTCAAGAGCGGTACCTGTCTAGCAAACTTCCTCATCTGATTCGAGAAATCCATATGGAGATTTATGACCTTTAATGTCGTTGTAGAGAATCACAGAGTAAGCTGGTACCCCTATAAACTGAATTTTGCATCCCCGTTTAACTGTGTACTCTCTTGCACATTTGTAATTGTTTATGATTTTGTTCACAGTACTAACACAACTCCCGGCAATGTCTATGAATTTACCTTGCTTTGTTGTGATATTACAGGTTCCACCCCAGAAATAAACATAAACAGGTTTACCAAATTTCCTCTTTAGTATGGGGATTTGATGAATTGGCACCAGCTCTACGAGAAAACTGTATGGGCAGTTTTGAATTATCCTCCCTACACACAGCTGCTTGTCGTTTTCCTTTGCTGTCAGACACTAGCAGGGGCAGGTAATATGATTCCTGATGCGGTACTGTCACATTGTGTGAGTATATGTAGTCTACAAGATCTTTTTCTGACCGCTGAAAGAGAAAAGTTGACCGTTCGCTGTGAACGATTCGTTTAACAAACCGGTGTTCGTAGTGAATGCCGACAGTACTGTTGCCAAAACAATATAAATGTAAGACGAAAGTACATGTAGTTCAAAACATGCCTCATAAAAACAAAATGCACGAAAACTGCCTAAATTGCGTGAATTTAATATGTCGACATGCTTTGGAGTTAAACGTGAATAACTCTCACCTAATTATAATCTAAAATAAGGAGAATGAGACAAGGAGCATTCGTTATGTGACACTACACTAGCTTACACGTACACTATACCTGTAGCAGAATACTGTCCACTCTGAGGTATGAGTTGCAGTACATTATTACACAAACAGAATCGGGCTTTTGACTCCCTCCTGGGCGTATAACCAAATCCCACTTCTGACACCACTTGTTGTGCTCGAATATTTGTAGAAGGCTTGCGCAATGACAAGTTAACTCGGAATCACAGCCGCATCACAATATAAACAAACAGTCAATAGCTAGCAGACGATGTTTATTTACAATCCAGAAGTAGTTCCGGTCGAACTTCCGGTTTAGCACGTGCTAATCGGCACAAGGCTATCTCTCCAAGGGGGTGACAGTTGTTGCTTTTTAGACTTTTTGGAAGTGCCTATAACCTCCTTAAAACATTTAGTGATAGCTTTTGAAATTTTATCAGATGCATCGCCACTTACATATTTTGGATTGTAATATATGACCTTGTTTCAGAAGCTTTCCATAAAAGTCTTCTCATCTGGTGTACTCCTGTCTACCGTTGCAAGTTCATTCAAGATGAGTAAAAAAGTCAACGCGTGATTATTCCCACGCGGCGACGTAAGTTTGTTTACTGTTTTATATCGCTCTAGCAACTTCATTTCTCAATCGATTTTGATCAATTTAACTTCACGTATTGGTCAAGTATCATGATACCTTAACGAATTTGTGTTTCAGTATACCAGAGTCAACGTTAATGTCATCGTTACTCTTTATAGAAATTCTTTGTCGTCGCTCTAGCAACTTCATTTCAATGGATTTTGATCAACTTATTTGTCAAGTATCATAACAGTTGGTATTTCCGGTTGTCATGGTCAATGGCAAGGTCACCGTTACGATATATAGACACGATAATATTAGAGGATGGTATTGCTATTGTGTGATTTTACTAGACACTGTTAGATGCAACAAGTGTTCTTTAACAATAGGAGAGAGGCAATTTGTATCGTTTGTCACACCTTGTTTGCCTCTGGTTGAGGTCAAATGGTTCTTAACCTTTCCTTGAAGTCCGCTACCTGCGAAACTGTTTTGGAATATTCAAGAACAGAAATTCTCTCTACAATGCACCAGTCTTCAATAAATTATTTGGTTGAAATACCTGTGACAAAGCTGAGGTACCACCTGCCCGTACACTTCTCTGTGCAGTGTTGCTCTGCAACGGTAGTATACTGAGCCATAAATACTATGTGCGGTAAGACGGCAATAAATAAGATGAAACCCTCGAGAAGAAATGCTTTGTGTTAATATACCATCCAGGTTTCATTGATCGTATTAATATCCCTATTGTCCTGTTAATAATAATAATAAACTTTATTTATTTTATAACAATTGCGCAGCAAGCTCTTTTAACTTATATTAATCAATCTTGTTGGCTCGGATGGAAGCGCGGGAGGGGTCTTAGAGGGGGGAAACGGGAGTACCAGGGGAGAACCCACGTGGTCGGGCGAGTGATACTACACCTTTTCACATCCATTACGGGAATCGAACCCCGGACAGTTAGGTGAAAAGCGAGTGCGTTATCACTGCGCCACCCGACCATCCTGTTATCCTGTTAAGTAATCACTTGTCGATTTGATAGTATGCGCACGCATAGTAACTGTGTATTTCTAAACATACAGATAAGCAGACTTTAACTATGTTTCAGTGGAAGTCCTTACAACCTGATCAACTAGGTTCAATACAATCAGAAAACTGGTTGGGGACGTGTATCTTCCATATCAACTCTGATCTTTCCTTCCTGTATCAGGAGATCACCTAACACCACGTAGATTAATTCAAGGACATAACTTTCCTCATCCTACACTAAGAAAAGCGATATCATTAATTATAAACCCGACAAACAGAGATTCCACCACTTATCAGGTACTTCCAAAACAAGAAGGGTAAAGAGAATAAAGATTTTACATACATTTATAACCATAAACAAAATTAGCTTAATTCACAAATCTAACATTTGGTCCGTCAGGATTTTCTCTGTGTTCTCGTTTAATCTAATTGTACTTGACTGTACACACACACAATTAAAGGTTCCTGTAGCACCACGGCATCGAACAGTATGCTTTTAACGTCATTACAATATGATTGAAGTTTTATTGGATTTTTTTTTTAAATGAAGTTCCGGACTAATCAAATCATGGCTTTACAA